TACATCAAAATAAAAAGCTTTTTTAGAGCAAAAGAAACCATCAACAAAACAACAAGAAAGCCCACTGTATGGGAGAACATATTTGCAAATGTTATCACTGATAAAGGTTTAATCTCCAACATCTACAGACAGCTTATACAACTAAATAAAAGGAAATGAATGATCCAATTAAAAAATGGGCAATGGACCTAAATAGAATATTTTCAAAAGAAGACAGAAGGAAGGCCAAGAGGCATATGAAAACATGCTCAAAGTCACTAATTATCTGAGAGATGCAAATCAAAACAACAATGGGGTATCATCTCACACCTGTCAGAATGGCCAATATCAACAAATCAACAAACAACAAGTGTTAGCGAAGTTGCGGAGAAAAAGGAACCCTCGTGCACTGCTGGTGGGAATGCAGACTGGTGCAACCACTGTGGAGAACAGTGTGGAGTTTCCTCAAAAAACTGAAAATGGAACTCCCATTTGACCCAGTAATCCCACTCCTAGGATTATATCCCAAGAAACTAGAAACACTAATCAGAAAGGATATATGCACCCCTATGTTTATAGCAGTACAATCTACAATAGCTAGGATTTGGAAACAGCCTAGGTGCCCGTCAGCAGATGATTGGATCAAAAAACTATGGTATATCTACACAATGGAATACTATGCTGCCATAAAAAAGAAGGAATTCTCATCATTTGCAGCAACCTGGATGGAATTGGAGAACATCATGCTGAGTGAAATAAGCCAGTCAATGAAAGAGAAATACCACATGATCTCACTCATTTATGGATAATAAAGAACATTATAAACTGATGAACCAAAAGATAGATATAGTCTATCAAATTACAGTGGGGAGGGGAGGGAGATCTGGGAGAGATAAGAGACCAACCGAAGGACTTGTATACTTACATATAAGTACAACCAATGGACACAAAACTCTGGGGAGGATGGGTATATATGGGGGGGGGGGGGGGGCAAATGGTAAAATATGTACACAGATAATAATAAAAAAATAAAATTAAAAAAATTTTTTCGTGCACTGGGCCTCTAGTAAATAATAAAACTATAAATAATAAAATGCTGTTTCATGTACTCAAAACTGTAAACTGCTTTGCCCAACCTTGTTTGGCATACAGAAAAGGTTGGTCACCATCTGTTTTACAAAAATAGGATGATAGCCCAGACAGTGTGGCTCAGTGCTTGAGCATAGACCTAGGAAGCAAGAGGTCACAGTTCAATTCAATGTTTCTATCTGTCCCTCTCCTTTCCTCTCTTTCTAAAAATCAATAAAAACATATTTTAAAAAAATAGGATTATAACATATGCATTTCTCTGTATCTTTTTCCCCTTAACCTCTAAGAGATCTGTATGAATCAGCACATTCCTTTTATGACCTTAATCCTGACAGTCACCTTTATGTAAGGCCCTACCTTAAGACAATAAGCCAAATCCTAACACTGAAATCCTAAATCCAACGCCCTAACAGTGAGGCCTTACCCCAACCCTAACAGTGGGGTCCTCACACCCCACAAACCCTAGCACCGACCCTGAGGCCCTAAGGGCTGGCAGAGATGAGTAGAGGGTGCTGGGCACTCGGTACTGAGGAGCACCAGGAATATTTGGTAATAGCATCCTTGTATCTGACCTTAGTGATTCTTTCCTTGGAATGGATATCCAGGAATGATTTTATTTACTTCAGAGAGGAAGGGAGAGGGAGAGATATAGAAACATCAGTGATAAGAATCATTGATCATCGCTTCTCGGCCTTCTGGCTAAGATCAAGTGAAGAATCATGGATCATCTGCCTCCTGCACACCCCCTGCTGGGGATCGAGCCCACAACCTGGGCATGTGCCCTTGACCGGAACTGAACCTGGGACCCTTCATGAAGTCCGCCAATGCTCTATCCACTGAGCAAAACTGGCCAGGGCATATCAGGAGCAATTTAATCGGGTATTGGGTAGATATAGTCTCATGTGACTGGATGTGGCCAAACTGTTTTCTGAAAAAGAACGTTTCCTTCTGTGATGGAGAGGAGAACCGTTTGCTGCCTGACCACCAGGATTGAGCTTCTAGCCACTGGAAGTTAACCATCTGCCAGGGGAGGAAAGTGGAGGGCAGGTAGCCACCACTCATTCCTAAGCCTACAGGCTCAGGGGCCCTGGAGCCCCTCCCCAAATTCAAACCCGCAGGAAGGAAGAAGGCTGGGGAAGTGGGGCTCTCATCGGCACCAGCCCGCTCAGCAGGTCCCTGGAGCCTGCCCCGGCAGGAGGGCACAGGCCAGGCTGTGGGCTCACCACAGGGTGGGATCTCCTGGAGCCACTCGGGCAGGGCACCGCCCAGCTCTCCTTGTCGCACGCCCAGAAGCCTCCAGGGCACAGCTGGCGTCTGTGCGCCCCACCAGACAGGCCATGCCTGCTTCTCTGAGCACATCGCCCTGACCGGTGGTTCAGTGGTTACAGCATCAGCCTGCACTGAAGGGTCGTCCAGGTTGTGTCTCGGTTGCAGTTTGATGCCCGCCTGGCTGGGGCGGAGGCAAAAGCAACCAATCGATGTGTCTCTCTCACATAGAAGTCTTTCTCCCTCTCTCCTCTCCTTCCCACTCTGTCTGACAGTCCATTAATGAAATCAAGTTGTGGTAGGTCACAGCAGCATTTAAATAAACTGGTGAGTAGACACTCTCAGAATGCATTTCACGATGTGGGCTGTTCTCAGAAAACAGCCAGTATGTACACTCTGAGTGGCAGTGTAAAAGGCATTCACACGGGACCCTGGTCACTGCCACAGCTTACCAGAGGGCATGAAAGGGGCATACTAAACCTGACCGCTCTGAGGAGGCCTGCGTGGCAGCCTTAAAAACTCAGAGACTCAAAGTAACCACATATATGGTCTAAATGAAAACTTTTTTAAAAAAAAATCCTCACCTGAGGAATTTTTTTTCCCATTTTTTAGAGAATGGAAGGAGAGGGACAAAGAAAAAATCTAGGTGAGAGAGACACATTGATTGGTTACCTCTTGCTCGTGCCCCAACCAGGGCTGGGTGTCAAAACATGCAACTGAGGCAGTGCTCTTGACTGGGAATCAAACCCTTGACTCTTGGTCCACAGGCCAACATTCTAACTACTGAGCCAAACTTGCCAGGGCTGAACTAAAAGCAGTTTGGTGGGTAGTCATGTCCTAGGCTAGAATATTCCCTGACAAAGGTCAACTCTAACTTGCTTTTTTCCTGACTGCCCAGGGCAGACACTATAAATCCTCTCGTTGTTATAGTTAATAGCTGACTGTTAACTATCCTGCAGCCACCTATTAATAAGTAAAAGCAGCATGTGTCTATCATTTTACTTTTTTGCAATCCCAGAGGTTTCCTGCTTTGCTTTCTCCCACCTCCCCTACTCTGTCACCAAGGATTTCATGTAACCCACCCACTTCCTTTTGATTATAATGTATAAAATAACATGCAAAACTGACATTCTCTGGAGCATTATCCCAATCTGTTGAGATTTTGCTTCCTAGCAATTGTCAGTTTGGCTCAAACTCACAAAAACTCCCCACCGGTTGGAACGTTTTCAGGAGGCCAGGGGCAGTTCCCGAGGCCCAGAAATGCTGCCTGAGCCAGCAGAGGGCACCCTGCACACAGCACTCACTTGAGCTCCCCCGCCCCCCCCCCCCATTTCCCGCCCCAGGGCTCACAGGAAGCCAAGCCCACTGAGGCCCCACAGCCCACCTCTGGATGATTCTAGCCTTGGGTCCTGTCCATATTCAGGCCTGGACTTTGTTTACAGCAGAGTCCTCAGCTTTCCTGTGCTTGCCCCCCTCGTCATCTGCTTTCCTTCCTTCAAGTGATCCACTTCCTCTTGCCTGCTCAGCCCTTCCTGTAGTCTTCATTCTTCCCTCTTTTCCTTTCTTCCTCCACCCTTCACCTCCTTTTCCAGAACACACACACACAGGTTTTTCAGACAATCCAGCCTTTTATTTTTGAAAATAATTCTGCAGCTTCAGCTTTCTTCCATGAACTGAGGTCGGGCAAGAAACAAAAGCAGACATTGCTCTCCAAGCCCCCATCTGCATCCTAACCTGCACAGATACAGGGTGTGTGTGTGTGTGGGGGGGGGGGGGACGGGACGGGACACGCGCACATGAAGGAGGGATGTCTGGGTCGTCCTGTCCTGGCTGCTTTGCCTCACACCGAGGGGACCGCTAAAAGCCAAGGTCTCAGAGAGGAGCCTGTGCAGCAAACCCCAGGGGGAAAGCAACACCGGAGCTAACCTGCCACCCACCGAGCCAGCTCAGAACCCTCCTGAGAGAACAGGAAAGGACCTGCTTGCAGAAAGGAGGGGCTGGGGCAGCTTGGTTCTTTGGGGCAGGATATGAGAGGGTGCCCGCACACCAAGCTTCCCCCCACTGCCAGGGATAAGCTGAGGAGAGGTCTTATTTTTCCCTTCAATTTTCCATCTTAGAAACAGAGCTGTCAGGCGGCAGGAAAGAGCTGTGTAAGGAGAGAGGAGAAGGGGGGAAACAGGTGGAGGCATAAACCCTGACAACCTAACAAACTCCGCCCAGACCTAGATGCTTGGTCTCGTTCTGGCCACAAATCTATCTGTTCTCTTCTCACCGGACCCAGCTCCCGCTCCCAGTGGGGGTGGGTGAGGCAAAGAGAAGGGCCCGTACCTGGCTGTGAGAGCCAGTGCAGGGAAAGAGGCCTGGGCAAGAGGACTCCAGTTGCCAGCCTCTCTGCAGACGCCCCAGGTGAAAAACTGGCACATAAAAGCCCAGTCTCTGCCTACCACACAGTGCTCAGTACCCCCAACGTACCCCAGAAAGTTTCCCCTGATTTGAACTCTCAAGAATGGGCGAATCATCTTCACCTTCTCATCTGTGCACCCGAATGCCACTCAAAAATAAAATAAAAAGATAAATGGACCCAGGAGACACAGAGAGGAGGGTGCAGCCAGGACCCAGCCTGTCTCAGCGTGTGACGTGGCAAGGAGGGGCCGGAGAGGGCGGCGCTAATTCCAGCTGGGGTCGTAGCCCTCCCAGGTCTGCGGGGGCGCCAGGTGGACACGGCGGCCCCGGAACAGAAAGCTGACGATGCCTCTGTAGCCGGCCCTCGGGACCCCCGACTTGAGGTCATCCATGACTCCTAGGGCCTTGGCGAAGGCTTTGAAGCTGTCCCTGCTGGTGTACTGCACCCGCACCTCCCCCAGCTCATTCCGCTCACTGGTCCTCACTTTCTCCACCTGCAACAGAGGGGCGCCATAGACGCGGGCAAGGAAATCCCTGTCATAGGCCTCCTGCCGCAGGTACGACAGGTTCAGCTGGGTGAAGGGCACAAAGTGCTGGTTCAGCTTGATGAACTTGAGATGCTGGTCAAAGAACTGCCCGTGGCTCACCCCCTTGCGGCCGAAGGTCATGGTTCTGGAGATCTCGGGCCGCAGGCAGGCCCGGCCCTGCCGCTGCTCCGGCCGCCGCATCCAGTCGTCCCAGAAGGCCTTGGGCCACTTGGGCTCCAGCTCGGCCCACAGCTCGGCCCGCAGCAGCCAGCCCAGGCCGGGGAAGAAGTCGGTGCGGTAGAGCAGCTCGGGCCGGCCCGCGTCCACCATCTGCTCCTTGCCGTTGTCGTTCCAGGCAGACACGCACCACAGCGAGGGGTCGGCCCTCAGCAGCGGGTAGGTGGCCTGGAAGTACTCGAAGAAGTCGGGGGCCACCTCCAGGTCGTCCTCCACCACCACGGCCGCCGGGAACTTGAACCTGCGGAAGACCTGGCCCAGGGCCCAGCGGTAGTGGCGTGCGATCTTGTAGTAGCCCTGGAACTTGCGGTGCTCGGGGGGCACCGCAATGGTGCTCAGGTCGGGCTGTCGGATGTGGGTAATGGCGCTGCCGTAGGAGGCTATCACCTGAGCTGTCTCCTCGTGCCCGCAGTCCTGGCTGACGATGATAGGGAAGCGCTCGGCCGAGGGCCGATAGTGCAGCAGCTTGTCCAGACAGCGCCGGACGGTGCTGCGGTCACAGGCGATGACCAGGACGGGGATCACAGCTGGCGGCAAGGTCACGGGCCCTTGCGGCGGCACAGGTGGGACCGCAGTGGGCACCCTCCGCCGCTGGCCACGCCGCACAGAGTACTCCCAGATCTGCTGCAGCAGCCCCCGCTGCCGCTCCAGCTCCGCCTCGGTGTCCTCGGCCAGGCGGATCACCTCGTGGGTGAGCCTGCTGGGGTCGTCATCCAGAGCGCCGTCCGAGGGCAGCCGGCTGGGCACAGGGCGCGTCCAGAAGAAGAGCAGCAGCAGGGCGTTCCAGGCCACGAAGAGGATGGCGCCCCACAGCACAAGACCTGCAGGCTGCTTCTTCAGCATCCTGGCCCCCGCGGGGAGCCACGAGGGGTGCTCAGCTGCCCTGCTGGCCGGTCTCGCTCCCGCCCTTCTAGGGATGAGTCCTCCGGGCTTCGGGATTAGGAAGCAGCCAGCGCCTAGGAGAGAAGACAGAACGGCAGCCATCACCACAAAGGCATGCGGCAGCATGGGTGGGGTGAGGGGCATTCCAGGAACAGGCGAAAAGCAGGAGGCAGGCTCGCCAGGGCTCTCTCAGGCGATCCTGCTAGGGGTTCTCAGTCTGTGGGTCGCCTACGACCATCGGAAAACACAGATATTTACATTACGATTCATAACTGTAGCAAATTACAGTTATGAAGTAGCAACAAAAATGATTTTATGGTTGGGGGTCACCACCACGTGAGGAGCTGTGCTAAATCGTGGCGTCAGAAAGGCTGAGAGCCACTGCTCTAAAGGGACCTGAGGCTCCCTCAGCGCCTGCCAGCACCGAACCACCTGTCTCCTCCCAGAAACCGTCCACCACGGCTCCACCCCACCAGCCTTCTCAGAAACCTCCGTCCATTCCACAGGGTCTTTAGCTTCCTGTTTTATCAGTGATCATACACCAATCAGGCAGACACATGGATTGCCAGTTTCTCCCCCGCCCTTGCATGTGCCCCTGCCCCGGTTAAGGATGTGGTCCATGTTCGGACCTTCACCATGCAGATCAAAGCAGTTTCTGAAGGCCCTGAGCAGACCGAATACTTAGTAAGTCCGTAAACATGACAGTGGCCCCATGGCCAACAGGAAACAGCTGCCACAGAGCAGCCAGGCCTCCGCCTTAGCACGCCGGCCCTTGTTCGCCAGCCCATGACCCCTTTCTCTAACTTCCCAAACAGACTGGTTCCTCTTGCCATAAGAGAACACAACACACCCTTCCCCAGACCTCTCAGCTTCCCCACCCAGGCTGTTCCAGAGTCCCAGTGCCGTTGCCTCCTGCTTGTCCACATATTCTCCAGAGCAAGACTGCCCCTCTCCTAGCAGCTGGCTGTGCCCGAGAGATGAGCAAGCCCAGAAGGCCAGACTCTGGGCCACGTACTCCTCCAGGAAGCACTGCTCGGACCATCAGAAAGATATGCGAGTAACAAGGGCAAGCCAGAGAGCCTGGCGCCACATTTCTTCACATCTCAGAGACTCAGTTTCCTCCCCTCATCAAATACCCCATTGGACTGCTGAGGATTGGGTGAGAAAATCCATATCAGGTGCTCAGAACAGTGCCTGGCACCTGACGATACACACACCAGTCAGTCACTCATTGTCCCCTGTCTGCGGCTCGCTTTGCTCCACTCTGCTAGTTTCCTTCCAGGCCCCAAACACCCACGCCCACTCAGGGCCTCTGCGTGTGCCTGATGCCTGATCTGCCCTTCCTTGTCTTCGCCTCGTGCGCTCTGACTCGTATCATCTACCAGGACAACTTTCCTGGTGTCTAACGACTAGGTGAGCTCCACCTCTCCTTCAAACCACCAGCACCAGCACCAGCACCTCTTCTCAACACGTCACATCTCCTCTGGCTACAGCTACTTGGGGGTGAGGTTCAGCTGCCCGGTGTGCCAAACTGCTGTGCTGGGTCCTCAACATTCAAGAGATATGCCCATGACCTAAAAACTGGCCACAAACCCACACTCCTTTAACTGCAAGTCCCAAGTCCACAAAAAGCTAAAAAACCGAAGTTTTCTACACTCATTTGGCAGTAAAATCCAACTTACCTTCATTTGGTGAAATCTGATCTGATCTAATGTGAAGCTATTGATAGTCTTTATTAATCCCACTTAGTGTGACTAGTCATGCATTTTGCTACAGAAATAAATATGTTGGATTATGGAGTGCTGCTCCAGACATTACACTACATCATAAATGCACCAGATCATTATTTATCTATTTATTTACATACATGGGGGTGACATTGGTTAATAGGATCACAAGGGTTTCAGGTGTAGATTTCTGATACAAGATCTATATATTATGCTCTGTGTCCATCACCCAAAGTCAAACCATCTTCTGTCACCATATACTATGCCCACTTCACCCCTTCCCTTGCCACTAGCAACCACCACACTGTGTGTCCATGAGTTTCAGTTTTATATCCCACATATAAGTGAAATCCTGTGGTTCTCAGATCATCTTTTTTTTTTTTTTTTTTTTAACTTAATATGTTTTTACTGATTTCAGAGAGAGGGTGAGGGAGAGAGATAGAAACATCGATGAGAGAATCACTGATCGGTTGCCTCCTACACACCCTACTGGGGATTGAGCCAGCAAATCAGGTATGTGCTCTTGACCAGAATCTTTAGTCCGCAAGTCGATGCTCTATCCACTGAGACATATTGGATAGGGCTCAGATCATCTTTTTAAAATCCAAAATATTCTAAATTTTGGAACACATCCAGTCTCAAGAATTTCAAAATTATGAAAATGAAAGAGACAGTTATTCACTGCCATCATCCTATCTGAAGGTCTCAAACCCTTTAATCTGAACTGTTTTTCCATATTACAAAACTAGAGGCCTAGTGCACGAATTCACGCATGGGTGAGGTCCCTCCGCCTGCCCAGAGATCGGGGCTGTCTCACCCAGTCCCGATCAGGCTGATCTATCCGGTCCAGGGGGGAGGGACCAAGGAAGGTTAGCCTGCAGAGGGAGGTTGTGTCTGCCCCCTGGTGGTCAGTGCACATCATAGTTATGGGCCTGTTGTCTGGTCATAACAGTCACTTAGGCTTTTATATATATAGATATTATTTTTTGTTGTTGTAACCCTCGCTGGAGGATATTTTTTCCATGGATTTTTAGACAGAGTGGAAGGGAGGAGGAGAGAGAGACAGAGAGAGAAACATCGATGTGAGAGAGACACATCGATTGGTTGTCCCCACATACGCCCGACCTGGGCCAGGGATCGAGCCTGCAGCCCAGGCCCAGGCCCATGACCAGAGTCACACCGGGACCCTCCAGTCCGCAGGCTGACACTCTAGCACTGAGTCAGACTGTCTGGGGCATAAAATATTATTTTAGGCCTGAATTAGTGAATTATATAGATAGGCCGCCTCTCAGCTGGCCTATCTGTCACTAACCTTGCTTCCCTCTAAGCCAAGACCCCCAAAGGACGAACCTCCTTCTTAAAGTGCATGCCTGGTCACAGCACTAACCTATTTTGAAAATCACAAGGCTGTCCTAGCTAGTTTGTCTCAGTGGATAAGAGTATTGACCCTTGAACTGAAGGGTCCCAGGTTCAGTTCCCATCAAAGGCAGAAACCTCAGCTGCAGGCTTGAGCCCTGACCCTGGTGAGGGCTCGTGTGGGAGGCAACCAATTGATGTGTCTCTCACATCAATGCTTCTCTCTCTCTGTCTCTACCCCTCCCTCTACTCTCTAAAAATCAATGAAAAAATATCCTCAGATGAGGATTAACAACAAAAACCCTGAGGCTGTCACTGCTTGCAGAATAAAACTCAAACTTAACTTTATGACACACAGTCTCCACAACAAACTGTCTCAAACATCCCTTTTCAAACTTGCCTCCACCCACAATCCCACGAACCCCATCCTCTGACTTCTGTCCGCCCCCCCCCCCCCCCCCCCCCGGATGCTTGTGCGCTCCTGTGCCTTTGCTCTGCTGGCTCCTCATCCTGAAGTATTATCCACTGCCCCATTTGCAAGCACTCACACATCTTTACAGCCCCTCCACGTAAGTCCTTCTGTAACATTCCTGGCAGAACCAAGTCTTCCCTCAACTAGACTCCCACCACACTCTCCACATCTGTGTTTGTCCACCACACTGTAATAGAACCTGTGGCCGTGCCCTCCCTGGCTCCATAGGAAAGAGGGTCTATGACCTCTAAGCCTATCACAGCGTGGAACACGTATAAAACACAAGGAGTTGGAAAGAGGTCTGCCTGCATTATTAAATACATCAAGGAGCAATAAAACAAACCAGCAGCATGAGTGGAGGATTACATTCCCAAGGATGACTATGACCAATCCCATGTCACAGTGAGGTCTGTCCTTCCGCCAGCGGGAGGGGGGAGGTGAAGAGGGCCTGTGTCCCCTCCCTTTGACATGTGACTGTGAAACTAGCCATGAAGGTAAGGTGACCAGATTGTCCCACTTTTTTTAAATTTTATTGATTTTTTACAGAGAGGAAGGGAGAGATATAGAGAGCTAGAAACATCGATGAGAGAGAAACATCGACCAGCTGCCTCTTGCACACCCCCTACTGGGGATGTGCCCACAACCCAGGTACATGCCCTTGACCGGAATCGAACCTGGGACCTTTCAGTCTGCAGACCAACGCTCTACCACTGAGCCAAACCGGTTTTGGCCAGATTGTCCCGCTTTTGGCGGGACAGTCCCGATTTCCAACAATTTTTCCTGCGTCCCGTGGCATTTTAAAAAAGTCCTGATTTTTGGAAAGATTCTTTTTTAAAACTCTGTGGTACACGGGGAGAATTGTTAAAAATCAGACTGTCCCACCAAAAGCGGGACGATCTGGTCACCTTACAAGAAGGCCAATAGTTTCCACCTGGTACTCCTGAGATGCTTGCTCATGACCCCTAGCCACCAATGCAAGAGGAAGTCCAAGCCACATGACACCTTTAGGTATTCCAGTTGATTAGACATGGAGGAAGCTTTCAGATGATCCCAGCTCAGCCACATCTGATTGCAACTATTAATACACCAAAGACCAGGAGCAAGAACCACGTTGCTGAGGTAGGAATAAAATGATTCTGTTGTTTTAAGTCCCTAAGTTTTGGGATGATTCATTATGAGGCAAAAAGTAACCAAAATAATGAGTAAAACAGAATTTATGTAGCCTTGACAAGCAGGGCACGAGTTCTTGCCTCTGTGCTCAGGCCCCACATCCAAACTCTGAAGGCCTGCGTCTACTCACATCCCTTCCTTATTAGATATCTACTGCTGAATGGAAACACCGACTGGCTTAAAACAAGAGCAATCATGTATTATGTATTCCCTCCTACAGTGTCCATCGGTCAGGA